GCCCACGGATTGGGAGAAGATCTTCACTAGCCATACAACAGACAAGGGTCTCATATCTGAAATATACTTGGAACTCAAAAAATTAAATCCCCCAACAACAAATCCTCAAAGAAACAACTGCCCAATAAATAAGTGGGCTAAAGACTTAAAGAGAAACTTCTCTGAAGAGGAAAGAAGGGCAGCCAATAGACACATGAAGAAATGCTCAACCTCTGTAGCCATAAAAGAAATGCAAATCAAAACAACATTGAGATACCACCTCACTCCAGTTAGAATGGCAAAAATCAAGAACTCTTGCAACAACAGATGCTGGAGGGGATGTGGACAGAAGGGAACCTTACTTCATTGTTGGTGGGAATGTAAACTTGTTCAACCATTAATGAGTACATTTCTTATCAAGCGTTGTAGCCTCCTGCTTTGTTTCCCCTTCCTATCTCTTCCCATCCTCCCCCATAACCCACCCAATCCTTCCCCCCCCACCAAAGTTGTATAGTTCGTTTTTGACATAATGACTTGTACCTGTATCCCTATTTAAACGATTCGTTTTTTTCCCTTCCCTCCACAAATTTTTAGGGCTGGTTTGGTGGAGATATATTGTTTCAGTTTTTCTTTGCTATGGGAGTTTTTTATTTGACCTTCAGTTATGAAGGAGAGTTTAGCTGGGTGCAGTATGAAAGCATCATTTTAAAGGAGAAAGTACTTGAAGGTTTAATATAATAACAGATTGCCTAAATGAATTATACAACACTCAAAATATGGAATGATGTATCTATTGTTTTAAAATCATGTTGTAGAGAAATTTAGTTGCTTGAAAAATCATTATTAAACACATGGAAAAGTAGGTTGGCATGGAATATGTGCAGTGAAATGTTATCTCAGTGCTAACTGAACCTGTTTATATATATATATATATATGCTGCCAAAGCAATGCAAATGTCGTAATCTATTTATCCCTATTACTTTGTTGCATATTTTTAGTTCTTCCAGTTTTTCATTATTACTAATATATAATACTCTGCCTATTCTAAAATGTTATAATGCAACCAGTTGGGAAATAGTTAATGATTTTGTGCCATGAAATCAGCACCTTTAAAAAAATTGATAAGTCTAAACCCTTATCCAAAGCTAACTGTTACTTCCTTTGAAAAAATAGCTTACACGATAAATTTCTTTATTGTCTTAAAATTATAAAATTTATTTTTTAATCCTATGCTTTACATTGTCAAAATACGGTGAGAGTTTAATTATGTGCATTTGTGGAGGTTTTTTTGTTTTGGTTTTTAGAACTTCTGTTATGGAAAGTTTCTTGATTTTGTTTTGTTTTAGTGCTCATAGTGAGGTTTGAACTCAGGATCTAGGTGATGTTCCTTAGCTTTTTCACTAAACGCTGGTGCTCTCCCACTTGAGCTGCTCCTCTACTTCTAGCTTTCTACTAGTTAATTGGAGATAATAGTCTCATGGACTTTTCTGTTCAGGCTGGCTTTGAATGGCAATCTTCAGATCTCAGTCTCCTGAGTAGCTTGGATTGCAGGTGTGAACCACTGGTGCCTGATTTAGAAAGGTTATTATACATTCACTTGTACCTTGTCTTCCCAGAGAGCTTAAGATAGGACCAATTATATTTTGAGAGATTGTGGAGACTTGAGATGTTCTATATCATGGCTCTTGGCCTCTAGTCACTGAATACTCTTAGTGTTGACTTATCTTAAAAGGATTCTGGGGTGGGGGAAAATACTGTTGGGGGTTGGGCTAACAAGGAGGATGAGAGGTTGAATACTGTTAAAATAGATTGTTTGCAGAAAATAGAATGGTGAAACTTGTTGAAATTTGGTGGGGGTAGGGGATCACAAGAGTAATAGAAGGGTTAGGTTGGTTGAAATTTATTATGATTGGTTGGAATATATTATAAACGTGTGGAAATGTAACATTGAACACTCCATTCCTGTATAATAAATATAAGCTATTAAAAATAGCATTCTAAGCTCATTCGATAAATGCACACAAAAGGAAATTTTCTAATTCATCCTAAGAAAGATATATATGGAATGATTTCCTGGTTTGAGAAAAATAATCCTGTGAATATCCAACCTGGTCTAACTCAAAGAAGAGCACAATCATGTATTCAAAGATCAGTGTGCACATTTTTTAATGGCTCACTCCTGTAATTCTAGCTACTCTAGAGTCTAAGATCTGAGGATCACAGTTCAAAGCCGGCCTGTGAAGAAATGTCCATGAGATGATTATTTCCAATTAACCATCAAAAAGCTGGAAGTGAAGCTGTGGCTTACGTGGTAAAGCACTAGCCTTGAGCAAAAGAAAGTTAGGGGCAGCGCCCAGGCCCTGAGTTCAAGCCCCAGGATCAGAAAAAAAAAAGTTTCTCAAAAACACAAATTACAAAACAAATAATTAAAAATTTAAAAACAATTTTTATTGTGAAAATACTGTACAGAGTGGTTACAATTAGGTGGGCAAGATAATGAATACATTTCTTATCAAGCATTGTAGCCTCCTCCTTTGTTTCCCCTTTTCATCTCATCCTTCTCCCCCCACCCAATCCTCCACCCCTCCCCCGCACCAAAGTTGTAAAGTTCATTTTTGACATAACGACTTGTATATCTCATTGTTGCAATGGGTCCACCTGTATCCCTATTTAAACGATTTGTTTTTCCTCTTCCACTCCACAGATTATACTGACATCAAATTCAGTGAAAGCAGGGGTTATACTGTGGGGGAGGGACATACATTAAAATCAATTTTTAAAAAGTAACTATAAATGACATTTCAATGAAACTTAGGCGATCATTTTTAGAAAACTGTGCCTTAAAGAAAATGCAGCTAGTAATTATATTTTTTGAGTTAGAAATAAGGAAGCTACTCATCTCATATTTTTATTTCATGAATTCTCCAAAGTTGATCTAATGTGTATATATTTTTCATGTAGGAAAATGTTATAACATTTATCTTTTAAAAAGTCAACAGGGCAAAAAATACAAAAATAGTAAAATAGTATTAGACTAGCTGTCTTGACCTTCCATCGATCAAATACTGTTTCCATTCTTTTATTGCTCAGGTTCTGGAAGTAAGTCAAAAGGATTAGAAATGGACCCACCTTCCGGTCATAATCACAGTCACTTCCCTCATCTGCAGTTCAACTATCTGTCGTTTCAGTTCCCTATGCTCAACTTCCATCTGAAAGACTTTACACATGAAAATAGAACAATGAAACCTGTGGAGATGGGAATTAGTAATTGAGGGGAGAATTTGATCCAAATATGTTTATATATATATATGTATATACATGTATTACATATATGTGTAATATCATGGTGAAATTCCTTTGTACAATTGATATATGTAAATAAATAAAAGTCACCATAAAGGTTCTTTTTCATAATTATTTCAAGAAAGAGATATGATCCCAACAGTTAGATGGTCAAGGCAATGATCCTTATTAAAGAGATCCCAGGATTTGCATTACTATGATGGATTTTTGTGTGCATTGCAAAGGACTGGGTCCTTGGAATTGCAGGAGATTGTCCACTTCTGGTGTGTTTCTTGACAGGACATAACCTCTTAGCTATTTACTGGCCAAAGAACCAAGCAATTGTTCACCCATCATTGTTATAATAACTAGTTTCCATATATCCATTCTTGGAACTTGTCTTCTTCTAGGCAGTAAAATAATTGAAATAGATATCTGTGACTACTTTTATGTTTCATGTGTCACCTACCATATCTTTTGTACACTATGAATGAGTTAAAAATTTTGTTCAATTGAAGCATGGTGTCAGTGACTGGTGCCTGTAATCCTACCTACTCAGAAGGTTATGTAAGGATTTTGACTCAAGGCCAGCCTAGAAAGGAAAGTTCATGAGGCTCTCACTCTAATTAACCACCAAAAAGCAGAAGTGGAGCTGTGATTGAAATGGGAGAGCACTAGCCTTGAGAAAAAAATGCTAACGGACAATTCTCAGGCTCTGAGTTTAAGCCCTAAGATTGGCACAAAAACAATTTTCAAATAAGAATTCTCATGCATTCATTCAACAAGTAACTACTGAGTGATTCCTATCTGCCATCTGCTCTTTTGTTAAAGGGGACACTACAGTGAGCAAGAAAAATAAGTTTCCTCTTCTCATGGATTGATATTCTAATGAAGGAGACAACAAAATAGATAAGCCAATAATCAAGATAACTTTAGATGTTAAAGACAATTCTAAAGATACTATACAAGTAAAAATGACAGAAAAGGCCAGAGTGGTAGGCATATGGAAGCTAGTGCTCATTTTCATTGACAAATAAGAGTGCATATTTCTGAGGAAACATTAGAATACATGGGAGAGGGTATGAGATGAGAAGTAAAAGGCAGGCCTGAGCTACATTACTTAGGGTTTTGGAGTCTGTGGTGGAAAAGCTGAACCTTATTCTGATTTTGGTAGAATGCTAGTGGGAGGTTTTAAGCAGGGGAATAGTGCTACTTGAATTCCATTTGAGAGAGAGCACCACTGTAAAGAGAGTATTCAGTATGCTCAGTTGACACTAGATGAGGATGAATGGGAGCAGAGACCAGTCTGCAATACTCCTGGCAAAAAGTGATGCTAAATCAATGGGAGTGAAGATGAACTGTTGTAATGAGAACTTGCTAGACCTCACTTATGGATTGGAGAATGAAGAAAGAGTGATGGAGAGAGAAATAAAATTTGATTTCTAGAATTTTGACTTTCACCCCTTAGGGGGGCATTTTACCAAGATGAAGATCACTGGAAGAATGGCAGGTTGTGTGTAAACAAATCATAACCACACTGAATATGGAACAAAACTTGATTCTGAATAATGTTTCACTGAAGGAGTGTGAAATCTCATAGTCTCCAAATCTCTGTTGTTTGATTCTATAATATGGAATTCTAGTGACATTTTCTTGCAACTTGTGCAGTGGTACAATTTTAGAGAATTAAGAAGGTATTTTTCTGCATTTGTCAATATTTTTTTCCCTTCCTTTGCAGATCTGCAAAACAGTTAGCCACTCTTTTTGTGAACCTCTGTGTCACAGCGGAGACCCATGAAGTCTCTGCTCTGTGGTTCCTGTGGTATGTCAAGCAATGTGGGGGCACAACCAGGATCCTGTCAACAACCAATGGAGGGCAGGTACCTATCCATTCCCCACCCACTACTAGAATGAAAGATTGTCCTTCAATCAGGAGCTGCTGAAGTTCTACACAAGCTTGTGGCATAAACTGCTTTATCCTGGCAGCTCATAGTGGCTTTCAGAAAAGAAAGTTAGGTACCCAGGATGAGCCTATAGTGACCAGTGTTCTTTTATGACTATGGTTGTCTTTATGGTTTTTTTCCATTGGGATATATACCTGATTGTTGTCTGGTAAGTTTGTAGGAAACTATCTGATGAACATAGCTCTGGCATTTCCTAGAAAGCTCCAAAAGGAAAGTTAGAGATGCATTTTCAATTGAAAACACACACCATGGGATGGAGTTGTAGCTTGGGAGGTAGAGAACTTGTCTAGCACATGCTAGTCCCTGGGTTCCATCCCCAGCACTATTCCTAAAAAGGATCATTGGAAAAAAAAACACATACAGAATTCCTTCTCTTTTTCACTCATCCAATACCTGTTCTTGAGCCACAGCATTATACAAAGCACTTTGCTATAGGCACAGAAAGAAGTGGATTTGAGTTCTCAATCTATGTAGCCTGTGTTCCTCTCCTCTTCTTTCCCCTGTTTTACTTTTCTCCTCCTCCTCCCCTTCCTCCTCCTTTTCCTCCTCCTCCCCTTCTTCCTCCTCCTCCTCCTCCTCTTCTTCCTCCTCCTCCTCCCCTTCTTCTTCCTCCTCCTCCCCTTCTTCCTCCTCCTCCTCCCCTTCTTCCTCC